ATTAAGTGACCATGAGAGCAGTGTTTTTACAATTCAGACCCTTTCACACCAACGAATAAGAGTCTGATGCTGGTATTGTAATTGCTCTTGAAGTGATGCACAAAACAAATGGTGAAACTGCTAATAGTTACTGTGCTGCTATGAAAGCTCGTATCCACTTATGATCCTACTTTTAGGCAAGATTTTTGTACCGTGTGAGTTCTCTTTCTTCTTCTTTCATCTTTTTTTTTTAACCATTTTTCTTTTTCTTTGTTTTATCGGATCTTTCATTTGACTTTTATTAACTTTATTATTTCTGTTTGTTCCTGTTTGTATATATTATATTATAAAGCATTTTGCATTGCATGTATGAACAAGGTGCTATATGTTAATAAATACATCCCAAAGCATGCTACATCTGTTGAACAGGTGGGGGCGCTACTATTCAATTCATATCCTGTCAATAGCAATTTTAATGCCCTACTGAGATACTACTGTCCAGTCCCTTTAAAACACAGACAACATGAGAATAAACAGTGGGAATTAAATGACACATGTTTGACAATAACTTAACAATGACATTTCCGTACCCAATAGAATCAATTAAACTGGAAGTTCAGTTGTCGATAACAGGGCGGAATTATAAATAAGATATAACTAGCTTCACCGGAGTGAAAGTAAATTATCAGGATAGTTTAAGCAAATCATATTTAAGATTAATTTCTGATGGATGAATTTAACTTAAATATTATACTATGTTGTGTATTTACTTTAACTTAATTCCTACAATGCTTATCCTTGTGGGACATTTGACCTTGTATTCTTTTACAACGGTATGCTGTTTGTAATGATGGATGGAAGATAATGGATGAGCTGGAGTGTGTTTTGACGCCTCTGGGATGAGCCCATCAGCTCAAAATGATCCATTTGCATGTGGATGATGGAGGTTGGATGGGATTTGCAGCCATGGAGGAATTTAGTACATTTAAGAGTGATTTATGATTTGACAGAGTGACTATGAATCTAACAGGGACCATATTGCTCAGGCGCCCTCAGCTTTAGTAGAGAGTATTTACCAGAAACAATGGAGGGATTTGTCTTTTGGAGTTCAAAGACATGAATCACGAGGGAATATTTTCTCTTTGAAATTTTTTTTGAATAACAAAAGCCAAAATGTCTGGGAATTTCAACTATGATTGATCATATCCACTGAAATTTAGCTCTTTGCATTACAAAATTCATCCAGGTGGTTGATTTTGAGTAACAAACATTTTTATGTTTCTCACTTATTTCGTGTTGTTTCCTGTTATTTTTCATTTTCCTATTATATTTAATGAAAAGAACACCTTACTAACAGCCATGAAAATTAATTGCTTGTTATAAAGTCAGAATTAATCTAAGAGGCCTGATCTGTATTTTTAATGATCAGAGTTGGACGTGGAATACTTTTCTTTCACAAAGTACCTTTTATTGATGGAAGAAGTGAGATCAGCTTTCTTCAAAAAAACTCCAGTTTCACAGCTCCATAGATGCATAAACTGTCTTTCTGTATGTTTACTCATCTAAGAAACTTCAGACAGACAGATGGACGGATTGATGGAAATATGGATGGATGACTAGATAGATAGATAGACAGATATTTTTCTTTATTTCTGTAGTACACGTCCTGGTTTGTTGCTCCCCTGCAGCTCTACAATCGCTTACAATATTCTCAAATTTCACTTTTGGATACCATGAATTTCTCTGAACCGTGGCTCTAAGAAAAGCAGCTGTGAAAACAGCTGATATGAATTCTTCACTAATGCACCAGAAAATAATGGAAAACATTTATCAGGGAGTACAGAAATATATTAAAAAATGGCCTTTACTTAATTCTCCAGGACCCATGAGGCTTTATCCCCCTAACCATTCTCTCATATACACAGCATGTCCTGTGAGGTTCTTCAGCTAATTGAATATCACCAATCTCCTCTTGCAGTTTCCCATCTCCCTCCTGTTATTATATTTGGCTTTATTATTAGGTACATGATTGCAGTTAAAAGATATTTAAGAAATGCTATGACTTGTGAGAAAATACTTCTTGTTTACACACATATCTCCTTATCTTGTCTGGGTACTGCACTGAGTGAAGGCAGCACTACTGCATTCATTGGCTGTAAAACATTTAAAATGTCTAATAGATTAATATCCAAGAACTAGTCTGTGTTTATATTTCAATGAAGTAATACATAAGAAAAATGAATATTTCCAAGAATTTTCAGGATGGGCACAATCTTGAAAGGTCTGCTGAGTCAGGCTGAATGGATAGAATGGTCTTACTAAGCTGCAGATTTATATCCTGTTTGGTTTTTTTTGATTAGTTATAAGACCATTTAAGTTTTTACATCTAAAAGTAGGTCTAAGTACAGCTGTCAAGTTAATGGAAAGCAATAATTTCCTTTAGTTGACTTTCTAAATTGTAATTAGTAATTTGTACAGTAACAAAAAAAGAATCTGTACACTGTATAAATATTCTACAGTGACATTACTTGAATTGATGTAAAATAAAACTAAATATATATTTCTGTACAGAAGTATACTTAAGATTTATCCCATAAATAAGATAAGAAAATATTTTGTCTTCATGATTTTCAAAAAACCTCTTCTACACATTCTGGTTATGATCTACAAAATATGATAGTTGCCATGCTACTGCCCTGCAGGCCAGCCATACACTACCATTCCCATACTTAGATTAAACTGTTTCCACAGCCATTGTGAGCCCACTGAAAGACGAATGATACTATTTACACAACCTAATAACTGAGGAAACGTGCGATTACTTATCCAGGCAGCTCCGGAGTCGGTGACACAAAGGAAAACATAGCTGAAGCACACAAGGGCAAGTCCGACACTGAAGCACAGGGTGTTGAAACTCTGTAAATATAGAAGAGAAGTACAAAATGAGTTCCATTACTGGAGTTGCTGTAATCCACTTTTCTGTGCCAAATTAGCCTGCTTGTATAATTCTAAATATCTAAATATCTCCAGCTCAGTGAATTTCAAAGTGATTCTGATTCATTTCTAAAGGATAGACTGTATCTGTATTCAAGCATTATGAAAGGGTACATGTGAGATTTCACCTGTGTTTGTTGGCAGTGGAATCACCTCTGTCTGTGTTGTCTTGTGTGATATGTTTTACCAGGCCGATCTCTCCATCGACCTTTGAGAATGGTCCTGGGAAATAAAGGAATCCTGTTCCTGTAGTGTGTCATGACATTGCACTCTGTCTATATCTTTCTGCTGCAGCCTTGCACTCCTCCTCGGCTTGGTCACACTCAGACATAAGGTCAGAGGTGTGAATGAAAAATTGAGTGGGCAGCAGTCAAGGCCAAGAATAAGATATTTAAGAGGGCGAGAACAACCTTCTTGTGCCAGGTCTCCTTTTTCACCTATGAGGTGTTTGTCTGGAAGCGATTTAGCCTTTACATCACCTCTGAACACTCAGAGAGAGGTAGCCACATTACAGACAAGTTTGCTTTTTAAATCATACATTAGAGGAACTAAGGTCCATAACTCTGAAAAGGAGCATGGACTGTGTTCCAGTTGCTCAGCAGTGGGCATGTGTGAGAGAACATGCTTTTTGGGGATTTGATGGATGAATGGTAGGCCTAAATATTTTCTCTGCTTTGTCCTCATGAGGTATTTCAGACCACATGTTTTCTCATGATTTTCTTGGGAGAGGCAGATACTTTGCCATAATTAAATCAATCATTGTACCATCTGGTCCACTGCAATTGGAAAAACACAACTAGTATCTATTCAGGAATATTTGAACGTCTCTGACCAGCAGGGGTGTCAGAGAGAGGGGTCTGGGTCTGACTACTCAGGGCCCCACCGAGGGAAAGCCCCAGAAAAGCCAGGAATGAACATTTTGTTTTTGCTTTCAATTTTTAAAGGAATGCCCCCTCATAAGTGGATTAAATTGACCGAATAAAATGGTTGGGGGACTGAACTCTGTATGAGAAAATAAATAAAGTAGCGTATGTTGTTCCTCTCACCCCTCACAAGTGATGCCAAATGGTTTGGTCCGTCCCAGAACACCTGCACTCAGCTGCTAATCCAGCTAAGTGATGATGGAGGAGCTGGAGGCTGCGGCATCTGATGTGAGTCATGTCTCCCCCCAAACAAGAGAAAAACAGACTTTATGAAAAGAAAAGAAAGATAAAAAATGGAAGGGAAGAAAGACAACGGAGTCACTGTGGGGAAGCAGCTTCCCAACAGAAAGGTGAGCACAACAAACGAAGCTAGAAAATAATATCAGCAGATTGGAGGCAGTTAGCCATGAAGTTAGCTCCAAACACAGTTGCAAAGATAACATAAATTGATTAGCATCCTAGCTTGCCACAGTGTCAAATGACATATCTATCAACATTGTTGCCACGTGTCATGAAATGGTCCTCAGTTTCATGAACGTCGAGAGTGGAGTTTTCTAAACATACTGATTGAGTCATACATTGAGTCATCACCGACCTCACTGTTCATCAGTTATTCACATATTCAGCTCTTTTTCCATTAAGCTAGCATAACATGTTTACGATAACATTCATTGTGATTTTGAAATCCATGTGATACAAATTAGGCATCAGACCAATTAGCTAGTTTATGTTTATTAGCTATTGTATATGAGTTTGGCCACCCTCCCTCTCAGACTGATTTCTGTCTATCACGAAAAAGGCTGTTTTCGTCTGTTTCGTTTTTTTGGCGGGTGGCAACCAGCATTGAGGTGCATTACCCCCCCACCCACTGTGTTGGAGCGTGAACCAGAGTTGTGTAAACCTCTTAAGAAAAATCACGAACAGCCCAGTTTCTGTCAAGTAATGGAATAGAATCAGTAAACCGATGGCAAATATGTTGTTTAGATTCAGTCGCTCGATTCCAGGGCGAAACTAGTCAGACCATCCACCATTGAGATTGTATTAAATGAACGATATGGTATATTCTATTTAAAAGAACAACAAATAACAGCACACTGTGGTCTGTTTTTATATTTTGTTACTTTCACCATGTATCTCTCTGATTCGTGGTAGGTCTGATCTGCAACTGCTGATAACTTTTCTTGGGATTTAAATAAAATGTTTGAGGCTAAATACAGATAGATGTAGATAGATACAGGCTAGATACCACTGGCTTTGTGCTAGGTTAAAAACTGATTTGGGAACAGCCTTCAAAATATAGAAATGTTAATGTGAGATGATCCACTATGGTTTTCAGAGGGTTAAGTAGGACAAGTAAACCAAGAATGGAGAATAACATTTTCAATCTTTATTCTGCTTGAATTAGATGCAAATTTATGTAACATTATCTATTAATATTACCTGGGGAAAATAACATGGCCTTCAGTTTCAGATACAGCCCCAGAGAGTGGAGCAGCAGCAGGTTCCTCATCATCTACTTATCTTACGTGAGGACATGAGACAAGGTCAACTCATATACAAACCGATTTTTTGTCACAACCTCAAGTGGAAAAGGTTTAACCACACTAAATCAAAGAAGTTGTAAAGTTTAAGAGGCTAATTTAAATGCTAGATGCTTGTAGACCGGTCTGCCCTGAAGCAGTTAAAGAGCAAGATGATGTGATAGTGGGTGATTTCTTTTTCCTCTTAGAAAAAAGTACCTTTATATTCAAATATGTCAGCTGTTATATCTGTTTAGTCAATTTTCCATATTTTCCCTTCAGGGTCACAGGAGGCTGAAACTTTTTAATTTTCTTTATCTGAAAAAATTGCTTGTCTGGAAAAGGTTGTTTATGCATATGGGCGGCTCATCATATGATACTGATACCTTTTCAGTTATTTAACCCCACCACTCCCTACTTCCGACATTTTATGTAGCTTGGTGATTTTTAGTTAGCACTGCATAATTTTGGGACTTCTGGTTCCGACATAACAATGTATAATTTTTAGCTCTGGATATTTGTGATGGGCATTGCTTTTTATTTTCTTACATATTACAAACCAAACAATAAATGGATTTCAGTTAGACAACTCAAATGTTTTATGCAGCAGTAGAACAGGTTTGTGTTTGGCGTCTAGGCTCCGACTTAATCTCTCCCCCGATATGATTACACAGATATGATGGGAGTGACGAGCAAATAATTGTAACTCCCCCCAGAGGCTACAAGCGGCTGCTGGGGTGCTGGAGGGGCTGAAGCAACTGGTAGCAATACTGCAGCAGCAGTGCGAGCAAAAGGGTTGATGGGAAATGTATCTCTGCTTAAATAGTTTGCCTAATAAGGTGGAAGTGTATAATAGATGATTGTGGAGAATGAGGTATGTCACATGATGTATGTCACATGATTGGAGCATCGCAGCTCGAGTTGGCTGCCTGAACTAGCTTGCAGGGTTCGCTCCCTGCTTATTGGTAGTTTTACTTTACAGTGAAGTATCTGAATGCATCCTCTTCCACTGGGTAGCTGTGTAAACCCACAAACTGACATAATAAAACTGCATTCACACTTTGAGTCCCTGGATGGCTTAGATTTGCAGTAATTCTCTTTATCACTGTAGATGAGGTCAGGTCATAGCAGTAGTCAAAAATATTTAAAAAATATAAATTCTGGTGTACAATGATGTTCTGTTTTATCTCTACTGAATTCACAGCAGTGAAACTTCGACCTGTAGCTGTAAAGGCCAGATGTGAGAGCTCACTGTATGGAGGACTTTGGCACTTACATACTCTTGAGGTAAGAAACTCAATGCTTCATCATACGCACCACAGATGTGATGTTACATTAGATTACACTTACACCTTAAAGCTGGATGTGAGACTTTAAGCTTCCAAAGCAGAAAAAACAATGGCAATCAGCATTTCAGTAACTACATAAGAGCAAATGTGGTTCATGGAAGAGTACTGTTAACCAAAGAATATATACAAAAGCTAGGATTCAGTATACAGAAAATATAGCTTTTGAAAATATTTTGATTAATCCTGATTTATTGTCAATAAGCAAAGGTAAGAACTCTGAAGCTTTTCTTAAATAGATTAAATAAATAAAATACATATTTTGGATAAATATTTAAAATCTAGATAGTTTGCAGAAAATATTCAGTTAACTACTTTAGCAGGTATATCAGTATTTTAGGGACTACACAAATGTATATTATGTTATGCTATTCATTATAAAGGTGATATTAAATTTATACTGCACCATTTACAAACAAGAACATCAGTAATATGTAATAAATATTTATGTAAAAAATGAGTAAGTCTGGGAAATGATTCATCTTTGCAATAAAAGGCATGTAGATGGCATTATGACTTCTAGAAAGAATTCTAAGGTCAGCATGGCTGCTCCTCGGAAATGAAAACACTCACAGATCTAAACATGGCTAACAGGATGTTTTACAGATATGTGCCCAGCTTCTTCAGCCAAAGGGTCTTCATGAGGTACAACCACTCAGAAGTATTCCACAGTTGATCTCACTCAATCAAACAGGTCAGGCCTGGGGGCAACTGTCATTTGTCTTTTACTTTTAACTCTTAGTGTTTGATATGTGGAATGAGAGGCGTCATTGATGTCATAAGACAAAATTAGTTCAAGTGAATTGTGAAGTGATTCATTTTTTCAGTGAAAAAAGTCAGAAAAAGGAATGTGCTGGCTGATAGGTGAGGTCAGAGTAAGGTGCTGGTCGGAAAGGCAAGTCCTCCGAGTCCTGGAAACAGAGATCAGAATGAGTTCTGAGTAAAGGTAAATAACAGACACACTACTTTAACTAGAGGCCTGTAGCAAAATGATCTGATTGTGATAATTCACAGGTGTGGAGGAAGCCAAAGGACCAAAAGACAACCACATATAACTCATTCAAAAATAAAAATGCTCATGCTAAAAACAGCCATTCTGATTTCCCTGCAGGTGTCACGGTGATGGGGTTGTGACATGGTGGTCCAGGGCCAACCTCTGTTGAAATGTACTGATTGGACGTTTCATTCAAGCCTTGAAAGCTGAGGACAGAAAATGAGGTAAATGTTGGAGTCATATTCCAGCTGCAGAATAGCTCAATGATCTTCTGTGAATTCCATGTGTAATAGCATTGCATCAACATCTCTTGAGAGGACCACAGTTTTGCACCATATGTGAGCCTGAATGTCAATATTAAGTAGTTCATAGAGTCATTAGCATGAAAGGGAGAAGCTCAGCCTGCATCTGTGACTTAACCTCCAGTCAGTACAGATGTAATCATGTCAATAATTTCATGCATTGTGAAGTATTAGTTTACATTCTGTATTATTAAATCAGTTGGTGTGCAGTTAGCAAAAATATGAATAAATATACTGGTTGTCTTTGAGATCAGCCCTAAAGCGTTATAGCCGTAATGAACTTTGAGTATGCACAGTATGTGTGCCAGTTATACTACATGTTATCAATTGTTTTATAGTGTGTTTTATAGCTGACGCACAGGAAACATGTTGATGCCTAATGCTTTAGTTCCTAGTTCCTCATTGTAAGTACCATCAACATTTATCAGTGTTTTATAAGACACCATGTAACCTGTCACTCAGCCAAATGTTTGCAGTATTAGGTCACATGTGGTAGGCTGTTCAAAAGCACGGAGCCAGACTGCACATCTGAACTGCATTATCACAAAACGCTGTTTCCCTGAATGAAATTGAGACGTGTAGGCATAGAGTGGTAAATGAAGTTGATTGTTAAACTTGTTTTTTTAAATTAAAAGCAAGGTATATGTGCATCCTGGCTGCTTCAGAAGCAGAACAAAACTTGATTCACACATTAAAAAAAAGAATATCACAAATATATTATATTATTTCAAACATAGGTCGTAGTGCTGCCTGACAGAATCTGTTTTCAAAAGATGTTCAAGACCAGTTAAGCTTTTAGCAAGTTAGTTGGAAGAGTACAACACATGTCACTAAGGCAAAGGCTGTTGTAAGAGAGGGTCCATTTATTGTAGAGGACAACAACAGATGGTTTTAGTTGAAGGGGAAATCCTTTAGGGTTTATTTTTCTACGGCCTTTGCTTTTTCGATAATATTCTCATGGTGGTTAGTATTTATTATGCAGATACACGCATCTCCAAACCGGCAGGGTGTTCCAGTAAGATTATGAGAAGTCCCTCCAAAAAAGATGATGCTGTCAATATCATGGAAAGATATTCTGACAAAATGTGGCAAACATTGCCTCCATGTGAAAGTAATTTCCTGCTTATGCTAAAACTCAACAGCGTCAGAGAGGAAAAATGCCCTGAAAAGTAATTGAGGCATGTTTAACTTTTACTTTTGGTGGAGCCTAGATTGATAGATACATGTCAAATTATGGCAAGATTTGAAGCAGGTAAGAAAAACCCTATGACTTTACATTATTTTCTTAACAGATTACATTGATTTCACTGCAATCAAGATTGTGAGAATCTGAAAACGTTGTTGGATAGCCCTGCTTTATTCTGAGTTTACATTTTCATCTCACTATTATCACACACTAATCGATTATAATAGTGTGTCCTGTGTAATGATCGGAAGTCTATATAAAGATGAATGACACCCCTCTACATATCCAGAAATAAAGCCAAAATCTATAGTCACAACAGATAATTTCCAGCTGAGTTTAACCCTAATAATCTATTATATCACAGATTAACTCATCATTCAAAAGTTATATTCACAGCTGTTTTATTTTTAGCAATTTTGGACAGTAATTCCATGTCAGTGTATTCTGGGAAACAGTGATGATGATGCACAGCATGTGTGAAGTTGCTCAATCATTTGACCTGCACCATAAATCAAAAAACCAATACTTGGAAAAGGTCAGTGAAATGGGATTTAACTTTTTATGGCCCAAGTCGGGAAAATTATTAGTCCAGATCTTGGTCCTGAAAACTGCACCTATTCAATGCTTAATATTTTTTCCACAATTTTAAATTATGGTGGAAGGTAAGCGGCACTGTTTTTACTTCATGGATTGTACATACTCCCAAGGGATGATGAATTGTAGCACCAAGGTGATGCTTTCTACTGAAGTTATTGTTAGATGTTCCTGAATAACTCTTCTGACCTGTATCTCCATGAATCAGACACGTGAAGACTTTGATCCTTATTCTTCCTGAAACCCGATTAGATTGTAAATATCCAGAAACTCTCACTAGTGAGACAGATTCTTTCTGTGGCTCCCAAGGCTTTAAGGCACCAGTTACACTTAATGTTATCTTAACTTCTCTAGACTAAACAAATAAGTCAGTGTATAAATGCTCTTTCTCCTCCTGTATTACTGACATGCCTATTGAATACAAACCAGACAGACTGCTCAGGTCTCCTCACAATACCTATAGAATAGACTCTAAATCACTCTTATGGTGCTTTCAGTCATTATGGACNTTGTGATTCATGCCTAACTATTTTTTACTTTTATCTTACTTGATTACTATTTTGTTTTTTACATTGTTTTCACTTAATCATTTATTTTATTGTGTGTGTGTGTGTGTGCGTGTGTGTGTATATATATATATATCTCTTATTCTATGTATTTTAAACTCATATGTTTAGTCATGTATTTTTCATGTATCTTTGCTTTTATTTTGAAGCACATTAAATCTAAAATAAACTTCACTTGACCGGTCAGAGATTATATGTTGAGCCACTCTCTCACTGTAGCAGTCTTGAGAACAGGTTAGATAGCATGTGTAGTGCATCAGTGTGCTCATGTTGGGCTGTAACACTATCTATTTGTGATCTTACCAAATCTTTCCACAAGTGCAATTGTAAGTACAATGCTGCAGTCTGATTTGTCAACACATAACATTGTTTAGCAGTACTGTTGCTGGATGTTATTTGACTGTGCATTGGGCATTACACGGCTTTGCAGTCTCCAATGCGATTTCAACATCTAAAAGAGCAAACACTCAAACAGATGTAATCATTTGGTCCACTTTGTGCCAACACGACCTTAACATTAAAGAGGATTGATTCAGTCCTTTGGATTTGAAGCTCCCCAGATGGGAATCATTTTATTGTTAACAGTGCTGTAGTGTTCACCAGAAACCCCATTTTGATTTGAGCATGTTTGTCTCTTTTCTGTCATGAACATGATTAATGGGTCAGTGGTGTGGGGTGTCATTAACGTTAGATCAAGTGTTGTTATTGATATCAACATTTATTTTCATCAAATTTAGTTTTGTCCAGCAAATGCAGACTTTCAGTCAGCAGATGACATTTAATGTAAACACTGTTATGAATTGTTTTATAATCTTACATGTATTTAATCCCCTCAAGTAATAGCTGATTTTAGAATCAAAAGACCATGTAATTCAAGTCTAAATCAGTTGTGGTGATGTTGTTTACAGCAGAGAGGCCACAAATCCTGTCACTCCACAAGTGCTCATGAGCTCTTATGTTATCGAGGTAATGTGCAACATGTCCTTAAGGTCTGAATTACTGGTGCATTTGGAAAATTCTGTGCATCAAAGACAAGCCATCTTGAACCAGGTGTTAACTGGTATGTCATCAAGCTGATGGAGTTTGTTCACTTTTGATTCTCACTGGAAGATCAATAATGGATTCAAAATGACCTCATGATAAGAGTTGCTTTCATCAGCATTACATTAAAAAACAAGAATGCTACTCAGTAAAGTGCATACCTCTGTCAAGGCCCAATAGTCCCCTTAAAGTTAATCAAGCTGCACCAAATTGTACACACTTATAGATATCACTTCCTTAAATATGCCCTTTTCTCAGTGAAAATATTTCTAAAATATACTGTCTAACAATTATATTGTCATATATAATATTATAATACTCTACCATTATTGACAATAATTCCACAATTGCTTTATGCTACAAACTTCATTCTAACCAATGCTGTAAATACTCTTTTCTCTTTTCCCCTTTTTTTAGTTTTTCTAAACTACTTTATTAGTTCAGGGTTAAGGGCAGAGGATGTCACACCTTGTTAAAGCCCTATTAGACAAATTGTGTTTTGTGAATACAAATAAAATCTGATTGGTTGATTGATTGACAATGTTAAAGAAAGGCCATCTGATCCCGATCAGCACCAAAAATGAATGGGTTCTTCCCTGACTGATATCACATTCTTCCGTCCAGTAATTTTTGTGTAATGCAGATAACTAACAGACATATGCACACCAATGGAAACATCTGAATGTAAACACCCTCAAAAACCCTTAATGTGTAAATGCACAATAAAGCGCATGATGCACATGTTCCCTTACTCCACCATATTCTTAACTTCAAAATAAGGCTCTCAATATATTTTACAAACAGTTAAATATCCTAACCTTATTGAATTTTCTTTCAAAGATTGATTAAAGCTTATAATCACCATGTGCCTACATCAGTGCAATTCCACAAATTCCAAGTGGAAGCTACTCTGCCAGCATGGTGACAGACAGGATACACTGCAGCACAGCTAAACGCTTATCACTTTATTGTTTTTCCATGTTTAGCTTTCCAAGGATTGCTTAATTCAGCTCAGAGTGATAAATTTACTTCTAAACCAGGGGTCATGTGAAATTACTTGCAGCCCACATCGTTTCTTTCTCATCCATGTGGAGGTATTACATTTTGTTTAATTATTGATCAGAACTAAAATTGAATAATATACATAAAAAATATTGGATGGCACTAGTTAATCTTTACCATAGACAAAGCATTAATCAGTCCGAGTACAACATGTGCTTTCACTGTTTGAATTTTGTCCGTCTCCCACCTATTAACAGACGACACTGCAGTTAAACACAACACTGATTATTTGATGTAATAAATTCAAAATATGTCAAACAAACTGCCCACTTTGCTTCCATGGGCAAACTGTGCACACCAGGAGACTTTAGCAGGCAGCACCTGGCTCTGCAGTTGCAGAAGCCACACCCAGTTAGGGAGAACTGTGTGAGAGCAGCACAATACTGTGAATGTGTGAAGGGCAAGAATAATAACCATCATATATTAATCACAATAATTTGTTATTATGACAGGCCTACCTTAATATTTTTAATAATGCTCCAAGTTAGAGGTTTCTTTGCTCAGTTTACAGCTTTAATTCTCAGAGACTTTCTTTCATAACCAAGCAAAATTGGTATTGTACAATCAAATATCCTGAACTGAATCATCATTGAATTGAATTGGAAATCAAATTGTATCAAGACCTTGTGA